CTAAAATTTTTCTCTTCATAAATCAGGGGTTAATTCATCTTTTATTAATAATATTATTATAAAATTAAAATTTAATCAAATATTTAACCCCAAATATCATTTCTAATCCTATCTTCTCGCTCTCTCGGAGCTAATTGGCTCCTCTCTTTCTCGAAGCTGGCTGGCTCCCCTGCTCACGAGAGTCCCCCGTCGGTAAGCCAGCCGAAGCTACTGGGCTCCCAGCTTCAAAGGATCTGGCCTCCGCCCTTGGCTCAGATTATCAACCGCCCATCGCCTCTGGCCCAGGTCCCGGCTTCCAGTCTTGACCAGCCCCAAAATGATGGGTTAGCCAGAGGTCAACAGGCCGCGTAACCATTCTCACCGCTTCCGCCGCTTCTGGCTGTGCACGCATCGACGGAGTCCCAGATCTCCGCTTACATGCGGTTCCTCCAAAGTTCAATCTCATCTTCTTCTGGTGCTTTGCCACGGTGGAATAGCCTCACACAACCCCCAGCAGCAGCCACCACCAGCAACATCTTCTACTGCCTAGGTCGAGCTGATTTTGGTGGTGGTGATTGTACCTTAGGTAGAGAATGTGGGAATTTAGATGTCGCAAGTGGGAGGAGATTGGTGGCAGAGGTGAGTATGGTGGTGGTAGAGGTGAGTACATTTGTGGTGGTATGGAAAAAACTAGTGGTGAAGGTAGAGTTGGTTTAGGACTTGGTGGCTAAGATTTTGGTGGTGGTGGTGGTGTTGGCAATAATGGTGCTGCCAATGGTGACGGGGTGAGGTAGCATGACATTTGATTGGTCTCGATGGTAGCTCTGTGGGTGGGGTAAATCTACAGTTGTGCTGATTTACAATTGGTACGAGAGACGATGATTTTAGGTGATGGTCGTGGTGATTTGACTCTAGAGTAGGAGGTGGCAGGGATGATTTGGGTCTTCTTGCTTTTTTTATTGTAAAGGTGGTAGTGGTGGATTTTTGAGGTATGTTTGAAAGCGGAGGAGGAGGTAGCATAGTGACTGGTGGATAGTTCGAGTATTGTGTTTTCTAAAATTGTTTGTAGTGCATCTGTTGATGGTGTTAAGTAGGGTGCAACCTGATTTAAATTTCATTCTGGATTTGGAGAATGTATGACTAGGGTTGTAGGAAGCATTGACAGTACAAAAGGTACAGTTTCATTCGATGCCCTTGGTTATTTGTGGTGACCCCATGCGATCAAGTATATGTTTGATTGTGACCAATTTTGTGTTGATTGACCTAGTCACAAACAGTCACACTGAACACAAATTTGGTCATAGATAGTCACATTGAATGCAAACTTGATCACAATTAGTCACGGATGATATGTCAGTGAATGGGGTGGTGGTAGGTGGATCCATAGGGTGGACGTGTGATTTTCAATTTTTAATTTTCTGAAAATTTTAAAGTCGTCGGAGCGACAGTCGGAGTGATCGTCGGAACCGAAGTGATAGCTGGAGCGACCGCCGGAACCGATGGCTGTCTCCTGTACAGAGATGGAAGGAGGGTGGTGTAGCGGGGTGATAGGATGGAGAAGGCGTGGTGGCATTCGTAGAAATAATTAATGTATATTATA